GTTTTTCTGAGGAGGCCAGAGGATTTTTTTAAACTATTCTCGAGGGATTCGAGTTTGTCTTGCCTGAGCGAATTACAGATGAGTTATGAAGAAAACGGGCCCCTCTGGGCACACTCTCCAAACTTAAGACGGATATTTAGGTTACGCTCTACATTTGCTCCCTCTATCTGTTGCTGTGTTCTCAAGTAGTTACCGCAGATTTGCTGTCAAAAATTTGGGTTCTTGTAAAAGCAATAGTTATCATTATTACCTTTTGTGGCTTGTAGATTTATTTTTTCCAATACCGGGAACATTTTTTCTTCCAAAGTTCTGTTTTTCACCAAGAACATTCCCTAAAAAGACGTGAAAAAATTTGGATCCTGCAGATGGGATTTTGGGGGATTGGAAGAGAATCAGGTGGTGTCCAAGTTCATGCATGCTGGAAGAACGCTGACTTCTAAATGCCTTCATTTAAATATTCCAAATGTTTAGTTTTAATATATTCTATTAATTTCAATACATAACTTTATTCCCCGCTCTGTTTTCTACAGACGCCCTGAAAAGCAAGCTGGAAAGGTTTTGGCTGTTTCATGAAAATGAGCAGATTTTTCCTTTTGTTTCTTTTTTCTTTCGCATATTACAGAGGAGACACAACAGTTGTTGAGTTTTGAAATCCAAAGGCAAGTTTTATTTTTCACTGTAGTCAGAAGCATGGACGTAGTTTTGACTTTAGAAGTGGGGAGTACCAACTAGCATGAGGACCGGGGTGGGATATTTACAGTAAATACAAAAATATGTATAAAACTACAGCCTAGAGGCTCTTTTATGCAATGTCAGGAATGCAGAACTGTCAAGTGCACAGGTGACAAGAACGGCCAATCACACGTTAGCAAGTATCAGCAGAGCCAACAGATGAGCTCGTGGATGGTTCTATGGGAAACAGGCTTCTGCTTGGTCATGTAGTGTTCAACCAGTGTCTATTTTATACAGTGTGATTTTGTTTTTGGACGGTAAAAAGTGCAGGGGACAAAAATTTACTTTTTGATTTCATGCAAAATATGATGGCTAGAAGTCCTTCACTGAGAAACCATTTTAACTTCTTGTTCTTGAAAATGATCAGCCACTATGAATTTATCATGCAGGCTGAATGTAAAAATTCTGTCTTCCACTTATCTCCTGCATTAGCTTCTGATAATAAATGGTAATATTCTGGGATTTGAAAATCCTGACAGCACTGTCACTTAACATTCATGGACTCACGCATCTTGGCTCACGACGGGGAAGGCTGTTGTTGGTTTTGCACATCGACATATATACTGGACAATTCATTTCCATAGGCTCCAATAACACGTTTCTGAGGCCAAATGGGAGGTGGCCACCACCGCCATTTTGACCGTGTCACAGGTTCCGTCAAGCCCAGACAATTCCATAAAAAGGAAGAGAGGTGGAGCTGAGGGTGGGGCTGTAAGGCTGGGATCAACTGACGACACCCGGTCGAACTAGCTACAAGCTAACCTAAAGCTAACCCAAAGCTAATGCGGAGAAGGGAGCTAAGCTAATGGAGGTAGCAACCTAGCTACAACCGGAGTTAATTGTGCACAACACCAGAGCTTCTGAGTCAGAGATACGCCAGGCTGACGGCTGGGTAAAACCAGGTGGAACACAGAGGTCTCCGAGACCTCCACAAGCCGGCAGCCGCACAGCAGACAAGCGCCGCTGCGATCTGAGATGCGCAGAGATGCCGCTGGGGAGAACCGGGTGGAAAGGTTTCCATCCCAGAGCTCCACAAGCCGACAGCCCGCACATCAAACAGAAGCCACGATCAGACAGAGTCGCGCCGAGCTGCGGGGAGAAACATGTGGAAAACAGAGGTCTCCCGAGAGCTCCACAAGCCGATAGTCGGAACCCAGCTCCACCAACATGTAATATTTTAGCCCATTTTCTAAAGTGCAGCATTATGTTAAATGCACTGGGATTTACCCTATTACATTTAAATTTCATGGTTAAACAGTACATGTTAAAATCTAAGCTCAGCTCGGCAGTGACCTAAAATACATAAATATAATTTTACTTACCGAAAATAATGAAGTGGAGACTCCTTGGACGCTCTATTAGTGCAATTAATGCCACAGCAAGTCATTTTGTCCAACAGTTGCACAAATAATATCCAAAAAAAGAATACACAAACCCAAAGCTAATGCGGAGAAGGGAGCTAAGCTAATGGAGGTAGCAACCTAGCTACAACCGGAGTTAACTGTGCACAACACCAGAGCTTCAAAATCCCTGAGCAGTTTCCAAGCCAGGCCGAGGCTCGACTGAGGCCTTTCCACGGAGCTAGCTCTGTGGTCACGTGGGTCTGATGCTCATTAATTATACAGAAATTTAGGCTTTTAATATACTTAAACAGAAGAGTGAGAAAAAATTCATTTTTCCTTCTTCTTGCCTTTCATGGCCTTTGTTTTAGGCTTTTGTTGTTTATTTTTTCTGCAGTGCCTTCAGTAAAATGTTTACTGTATTACTGCACAGAAAAGTGACATTTAATTAAATAAAAATGGATTTAACTAACTAACTAACGCTGCCATCATTCATTCATGCTGCAGCACACGGCCCCCGAGGGAATACAAACATTGACAGCGACTGTCATTTGGTCCATGCTTGAACAGTCTGAGAAGAATGAAAAAAACAGTAAAGTAAATGACAGCAACAGTAAATAATTAGCTGAGCGAATGGAAACTTCAGTAATGCTTGCATTTATGAATAATAAATCAGAGCCATCTTTTGATTCATTAAATGTTTATACTTATCAATATCCTCTGGTGGTGGTGTAATTGGACAGTGAGATAAAGACTGAATGTTCACAAGCCCGTTGCGGATCATTTTTATAAGAAAACTGGTGATTTTATTCATTCATATCCCTAATTTGTTGACATTAATTTTGTCTAAAGAACACTCTTATTGATTAATATTAAGATCAAGTTTTTAATGAAAGTGTATTTCTTTCCTTTATGCAAAAATGAATGTGGTAAATGGATGATTAAAAACTGCTTTCTTTTGGATGTTTGTGCCACAGGGAAGCGAGTTCACTGTGTTTTCTAAGCACTCTGATAAGGATTAAGGATAACGGGTTGAATATGTTTCCTGTTACTGATATCCTTCAAAGAAACTTTATTTTTTCTGGTTAGTGTGACTGTGGAAAGGTGACAGCATTCTATGTCTCTGCATCTGATAAGAAGTAACTTTTTGTCACTTCTCTCTGCTGACCAGCACCGCTGCGGAGTTTTTAACTCACAAACACCTGCTCATCTCAACAAAGATGTATTTGTCAGATGAGGAGATCCATGATATGTAAAGAAGGAGCCTTTGCCCTCCACGATGACTCAGACACAACACTGTGTTCAAATTATTGTTTGAAGATAAGAAGGAAAAAAAATGTGATAAGAGGAAAACAGAGAAGGTAACTTTTTTTAATAAAAAAACATATTTCAGTGACAAGAACTTGTAAATGAATTAGAAAATCTTTATATGATTTTAAATAAAAATGTATTTAACATAAACTTTAAAATACAATAGAAAATAACAGAAATAATCATAGGAATATAATGACAACTCAATGCAAGAAAACAATGCAAAAGCAATAAAACGTGTTTTTTTATTTTTTTTACTTACTGACAAGACAATAGTTCCAATAAATAGTTGAAAAGAAACATTTTAAAGGTTTGTACCCAGCTGTAATTAAAAATATAGGATCTGTTTCTTCCAGGTGGATCATCTGAACCATTGGTAAGCATAACTGTCAAACATTCTGGTGAGCCAGTCACATCAAGGCCGTCGTTGCACATGCTTGTTGCTGGGCAGTTTTCACTTCCTGCGCATCCGCAAAGCGAAGGTTGGGCTCCCCACAGACGCCTCGCTCACCTGCTCGACAGGTAAGCTAAAGTTCGGCATGCTATTTGGAGAAATTCATTTCATATAACTGCTAAAAGAAGTTCGCTGCAAGTCCAGCAGCTACTCGTGAACAGAGCGTGCACTGGGATAACTGGGCGTTCTCTCTCATGCGCATTTTTTCAAATTATGGAGAGGGCGGTTCTTTCCTGACATTCAGAAACATCCTCCACCATACATTTAAGATTATCATTTGCAGCAAACTCATACAGTGAGAGTTGTTTATCTGCAGAATATTTCTTCCTAACGGTATACTAAGCAATTTTACTTGCTTTCACCACCCCCTAGTGTCCGTTATTAACTATTAGTGGTCAAAGCAAAAGAGAGACTTATCTCCTTGCTGTGCATTTGTCCTAACGCACAACGTTAACCTACAGCTGCAATGTCTCCCCAGCCTGAACCTTTAAGGACCTGTGTATAAACTTTAAAATACAATATAAAATAACACACACACACACACACACACACACACACACACACACATATATATATATATATATATATATATATATATATATCACAACCGATTTTAACCGGTCACCACCGGTTTTAAACATCTGCAAAATTTCTTCTTGGGTCAAATATTCAAGTTTGAAAACCCAGAGTGAAAATCTATCCATACATATATTGGAAATTATTCAACTTCTTTATTTTATAACATTTTTTTCCTACATCTTGATGTATTTGTCCAATCTGTTTTGTAATTCAAAACGGTTTGGGTTAATTGGTTTCTAAAGGAGCGATTCATTACTAAATCTAACAAATTAGCTGTGTTCATTTTCTAAATGCAGGAAATGTGCTGGAAACAGAATGCAGTGCTAGGTATGTCAAATGCATTTTTTCTAAGTCTAACTGATGGTGGCCTGGCACTTTGAAGTTGCAAATTCTTGCCGCAGAGGGTGGTGGGGTCTGGGAGGCATTTCATTAAGCCTGTGAAAGGTCAGTTAGCACAAACTCAAGAATGTGATTTTAATACATGAAAGGTTGTGCAGTATCTCTTTAACAGGTATGGGACGTTTGTCCTTCAATACTTTTGGCCTTCCAACTTAAAGGATATATTGGCTTACCATAAATTCTGGCGTGCTGTCTGCTCAGGAGTCACGTGACACATGTGTCTGGGAACAGTATGGCGGACATGCATGTGGAGCCTCCAAACAAGTTACACCGATTATCCAGCTAACCCCGTCGCTAGAACCATCTTTGCCGCGCGTGAAACCGGGCCAGCAGAGCCCGAACTCACAGCAGAATGGACGAGGAAATCAAACTCCAGTTCCCGGATCTTCCCTCCTCCAAGGAGGAGCTGCTGGTGAGGAGAAAACTTGAAACTGGAGCCGACACGCTAATTTTAGCTAACATACTCTCCGGCATTATTGTGAAACGTTTAGATTACAAGGCATTCAGTGTGAGGATATATGAACTTAACACAAACTAGTCATGTGTAAAACTCATCTTCTCTTTATTTAATAAATATTAAAATATTTAATCATGTAGCTAAAACCAAGAAGATGCCTAGCGTTAGCCACGTATGTACACAAGTAAACTTACCTTAACATTTCCTTAAACTTTTGATTTGGTGTTTTGTTTTGTTTTTTTGTTTTTTCACAGGACTGGGCTTATCCAATGAGACGAGAAATGCAGGTATGTTATTGTTGTCTAGTAGCATCCATTCCTCCTGTTGTTGTTGATGTTGTGCTATTTTTTTTATCCATTTAGGAGATTTTACCAGGATTGTACTTAGGCCCCTATTCTGCTGCAATGAAAAGCAAGGTAACAACTAAAAATCGAATGTTTGCTTGAGCTGTGTTGAATATGAAACGGTCACAATTTACATGAATTAATTACTTTAAAATTCATCTGTTTCCAGCTGCCAATTCTTGAAAGACACGGCATAACACATGTTGTGTGTATCCGCCAAGACATTGAAGCCAATTTTATCAAACCTAATTTTCCTCATAGATTTAGGTAAGGTGTTATTTTTGTCCCTTGAACATTTACGTACTCAGAACGCTTATACTAAATGTGAAGTCTTGAGTTATGAAGCTTTTTCTTGCAGATACCTTGTTTTAGATATTGCAGACAATCCAGTGGAGAATATAATTCGGTTTTTTCCTACGGTGAGTTAAAGTTTTAGCTTTTAATTCTCCGTTCTAGTATGTTTTTTCTTACATTTCCTTCTTGCAGACTAAAGAATTTATTGGTAGCTGTTTAGCCACAGAGGGTAAGGACACATACAGTTCCTATTTGTCATCATTTCAATGTGAAATATTTGATCAGCAGTCTTGTTTTGCTCCTCCAGGAAAGGTATTGGTTCACGGTAATGCAGGGATATCGAGAAGGTGAGGAGTTTTCTGTTTTTGACATGTTTCCGTATATAAATTTCAGGAGACAAAAATCTCTAATATAGACTCCTATAGCAGTTGCGCCACAAGTTCACCATCGGAGCGGGTTTTCAGCCCTGCAGGGAAAGTTGTCAGTCCATAGCATGCAATGTTGAAGCTGGAAAAGTAAAAATTTAATTTTTTTCTGGTGGAAACCCTTTTTAATAAGCTGCGTTTTTTTTTTAAATAAAAGGTGTTAATATTATGCACATTGTTTTTTTTTTTTTTGTTGTTTTTTTTCTGTAATAGTGTTTCAGTTTCTGAACAGTGGAAGTAATGTCACTTGAGGCTTACGTCATATTTTTTTATTTGTAATCGTAATATCAATCAGTCAATCACTTCATTAAAGACACAAGAAGGTCCATAACAGATCGTAATACCGTAGGCCAGGGCTTTTCAAGTTAGGGCCTCGAGGGTCGGTATCCAGCACTTTTTAAGAATAAGAATACCTTTTTTTTTTTAGTCCCTCAGGGGGAATTGCAGTATTGCAACAGCACAAGTACAGTAAAGTTAAAATAGTAGTACAGAAAAGCTATCACACAAAAGGAATTCAGTAAGTAACGTGGAATAGAAAAAGTGTTGAATTGAGAGTTTGATAGTTGTTGAACATGATTGTTGCTGTAAACATTGCACATGTATTGAATGGTGATGACAGTTGTGGCATTGCTACAGATACATAAGTTGTCACAGATTTATGAGTTACATATTAGGAGTGTTCCTTATAGAGTCTAATCGCAGCAGGAATGAAAGACATGTGGTATCTCTCCTTCACACTCCTTTGTCATGAAGTGACGGTGGCACAGGAAGTGCTCGCCCCGTAATTGGAAGGTTGCAGGTTCGAGCCCCACTCAGTCTGTCGCTGTCGTTGTCGTTGTGTCCTTGGGCAACACACTTAACCCACATTGCCTGCTGGTGGTGGTTGGAGGAACTGGTGGCGCCGGTGCTCAGCAGCCTCGCCTCTGTCAGTGCGCCCCAGGCCAGCTGTGGCTACATCGTAGCTCATCCCCACCAGTGTGTGAATGTGTGTGTGAATGATTGTGTTGTAAAGTGCCTTGAGGGGTTCCATGACTCTAGAAGGCGCTATATCAAATACAGGCCATTTACCATTCACACAACGAAGGTGGATCTGTCCGTCACTGAAGCGGCTCTCCAGAGCAGAGTTCTGCAGGGGGTGAGACTCATGGCCCAGCATGGATCTCAGTTTTGCCAGGATCCTCCTGCACTGAGTCCAGATGACAGCCCAGGACAAAGCTGGACTTCCTGATCACCCTGTCCAGCTTCTTCCTCTCTCTCTCTCTGTGATGCTGCTACTCCAACAGATCACACCATACAGGAAAGCTGGTGCCACCACAGAGTCATAAAAGGTCTTCACGAGTGTCCACTCCAAAAGACTGCAGCCTCCTCAGGAGGTCGAGCCTGCTCTGACCCTTCCTGAACAGTGCATCTGTGTTGTGAGACCAGTCCAGTTTATTGTTCAGGTGAACACCCAGGTATTCATAAGAGCCAATTCTCTCAATGTCCATTCCCTGGATGTTCACCTGTGAAGGAGTGGCAGGCTGGCATCTTTGAAAATCCCCCACCATCTCCTTTGTTTTCCCCGCGTTGATCAGGAGGTGGTTTTGCTGACAACAGTTTTGTGTCAGTCCTCTGTACTCCACATCACCGTCCTCGGTGATCTGGCAGACAATCACAGGGTCATCGGAGAACTTCTGCAGAACACATCTGTCTGTGTTGTGTCTGAAGTCAGCAGTGTACAGGGTGAAAAGAAAGGGTGCCAAAACAGTCCCCTTAGTGGCGCCCACACTGTAGGTCACACACACAGTCCCATGGTTTTAGTGGTTTCTCTGGTCCAACTCACTAGATTCAGTGGTTGAGTCACCTGTGCAGCAGCTCATCGGGCTCTGCAGAAGCCTGTTAATCACCTGCTGATTAAAATCAGGTGTGTTGAAGCACAGTTAAAACTAAAACATGCTGGATACCGGCCCTCAAGGCCCAGAATTGAATAGCCCTGCTGTAGGCCGTGGTAAAATGTGTAGAAAGTTAAACAATATCAAAATTTGGATACAAACCTAATAAGGTGCCTAAGTCACGTCCATCTACTTCCAAACCATGGGTCCCCTGAAGAATGAAAAATCGAATGCATGTCAATGGGGCTTTAAACTGCTATTTTCTAATTCCGTTATGAGCCATGGATTTCATATATGATGTCCGTGAATGTCAAAGACACATTCTGATGCATAGAAAGTGTTTATTTAAATCGGGCAAAAGTTATTTTAGGTTTTGTGTGAAAATACAACCAGGACTACAAATGTGCATCACCAAAGTGATGTCACCGAACCAGACATGGAGAAAAGCAGAAGAAAAATGGCTGTAAGTTTTGCGAACTTCAAACCACCATAAATCTGGCCATGTGGTAAGTAGCAGCTATGCTAGGGGAGAGGAGATTCTGTTGTGACGTCATATATGCGACGTGCCGACATCTGATTTGTAGTCATGCTAATTACGAACTTTTACAAGCTGATAATCTCAAAGTATGTGACAGGCGTGGTCGAAACACATCATTACTTTTCATTTAAATTGAAGTACAGCACGAGTGTGAATCAGGACGTAAGGCAAAGCGGATTCGAAAATAGCTCCATTGACTTGCATTCATTTATTTGTTCCTGCGGGGACCCATGAGCCGACCAGAAAGGAAGGAGACTTGGGCTCCCTTTTTACACGTCTGATAAAAAATAAACGAGGGTTGTTTTCTCAATAAATACCTATGGTAACTGGTTTTATCATAAAGTGATGCCATAAAAATGCCAGGGCTGCACTTAATATATTTTCTACTTTTTTTGTAGTTATCTATTATAGATTTAGGTCAATAAGAGCATTTTTTCTTGATATGCTTTTTTATATATCGTCCAGCCATACTCAGATGTATAATATCAGTAGTTTTTGTTTTGATGCTAATACAAGACCAAATCCATCTAAATGTCATCGTAACCACCGGGGTATATCTGTACTTTCAGTGCTGCTTTGGTGATCGCCTACCTGATGGAAACATTTGGGATGAAATACAGGTGACTTTTTTTTTTTTTTTTTTTTTTGCTGTAGACAAAGATTAATTGGAGAAGTGTGTTCTGCTTCAGTTTCTCCCCACTTTAAACTCTGCAGGGATGCATTCAGTTATGTCCAGGAGAGGAGATTTTGCATCAACCCCAACGTGGGCTTTGTGCATCAACTACAGGTAAGACAGGGGCTGAGTCCCAATTCTGCTTGGATTTTAATCATTTGGTCCTTATTTCAAATTAACAAGGGGGAGTGGCTCAAGGGTATTAGTTTTTTTTTTTTACTTTTGCTGTTGTCATTAGTTACACATCCCAGAATTGTTGAGGGCAAATGGGATGAAGGTAAGATGCAAGCAGGTGGCGACATGAGGCTCGACAGCTACTTTATATGGAGTTGGAAACCAACATACAGGCCAGCAGGAAATCCAGTATGAACACCTGATCTAATATGTTTAGGTATACAAGTGCCTCTTGTTGGTCAATATTAGTGAACTGGCTGGTAAAACGGAGAAATACTTGGGGTAATCTTGCAGACATTAATATTTCTGCACAATCTGAAACACTACGCAGGTATACATTTTTCATAGTTACCATAGCACCGTTTCACGCCACCGTTGCCAGTGTGGATTGGGGATTAGTTAAGTAGGGCTGAACGATATTTGGAAAACCTGCGCTGACGATATGATTTAATAAATAAATAAATACTTAAGAAAAAAAATAAATCAAAAACAAAGAAATTTAAAAATGACTAAAAAGTGGGAAGAGCAAAAAATGTGATCAGATAATGTGAGGAAAGGGAAAAAGGAAATGAACCAGAAAAGGCAATCAGTGGATCCTGGAAAAAGCTGAATCGGCAGAAAGAGCAGGATGAAGCTAACTCAGTTGTTTGCTAGCCATCTAAATTACGTGCCTAGGGGGCAGGAATCTAACCTATAAGAACCCACCCAATTGGCCAAATCGGTGAAGGGCTCTACTTGATTTGTCAAAAATGTCATGCTTCTCTTTGACAAATTTCATTATGTGTAGAAAACATTTGAGCTGACCATTTGTTGTGGTTTTATCTGCTCTTTGCGATATGTGTGTTGCACATGCTGATATCACAATGGCGATGCATTTGCAATGTATTGTGCAGCCCTACTGTTAAGCCAAAATAGTTTTTTCTTTCTACTTGTTTGGCATATTTTTGAGTTACTTTTAACTAGGGCTGGGCGATGCGGCTTAAAAATAAAATCTTCGATTTTATTTTTTATTCGATTTACGATTTTTTTCCGATTCTCTCTCCTCCTCAATTAAGATTAGCAATGAGTTAAGGCACCTTAAAGCCAGTTTAGTTTTTTTATTTAAACACAAGCAAGACAAATGTAATCCTAATTTCTGAGATGAATAATGAATAAATGAACACCCTCTTAGAAACTTTTTTTTTAAATCGCCCGCAACAAAAAATTTGAATTAATTCATTAAATCGATTATCGCCCAGGCCTACTTTGAACTAGGGCTGTCCTGTTCCAATAGATATTGGAAATAGGTCCGAAATTGGCCCACAAAACTGTATCAGATTCTATCAGACTGCATCAAACTCTCAGATATAAGCAGTCGGTCCCGCTTTACCTTCCATTCCAGCAATTCTATCCAGCAGCGCCTACGTCCACCATGCAAAGCCCATGTGATCAGATTAGTGCGTGTTAGCGAAGTAGCAAGTAACGAGCGATATTTTTAGTTTTCCTGTTGGAACAGAATTGGGGAAATGTAATATGTCCAACTTTATTGCGCATTTGATGCAGCATCACAAAACACTGCAGGAGGATTTTCAGTTTGTGAAATTGAAACTTTGGGAACTCAACTTTTCTTTTATGTCCCTGCCCTCAGCTGTTCCTACCATTTGCTGACAGTAAAACATAACTGAAGTGACCTTGAATTAGTATTTTGCACTTAAAAAATAAATCTTTTTGTTAGGGATGCACAATATATCGGCATTGGCCGATGTTGGTCTTTTTTTTTTAATTTATCGATATCAGTCCTATAAATAAAACTGGGCCAATATTAACAACCAATATTTTTCCCATCCTCCAACCAGTTTCGCTTTAAACAAGTTAATTCACTCCACCTTTATATTTTATTCATCCAGACAGTAATGTGACTTATCTTTTTTATCCATGATAAATTAAATTGACTTACTTGATACTTCTGAGATAAAATGATGGCTTATTGTTGAGGTCAGTGACTGGTGTGGAGAAGCTTTGAAGCCTAATGTATCTTACTTCCCAGGCAGGTGACCCAGAAAATCAGAGCGGTGTGGATGGTTTTCATGGTTAATTTATAACAAGTTTTATTGCAGTGGATGTTATCTTTGTTTGTTCAGGAATATGAAGCAATCTACCTTGCCAAGCTGACCATTGAAATGATGTCACCAATGCAGCTGGGCCGCTCGTTCTCCCTCCAAGCTGGGATGCCAGGTTGGTTTTAGATGAATTTTCACTTTTTCACACAAAGATTTTATTTATTTTAAGAGATGGTGCAGAATGACCTTGGTTCATTTATATAGCATTTGGTAAAGTGTACGTGTTTGGGCGTTTCTGTTGAAAATGTCATAAATCCAAACATTAATCTTATGCCTTATCATCTAATTTCCTAATTGTAGTTAGCAGCTAATGATAAAACGTTATCTTTCTCAGCTGTTTAATAAACATGGAAGTTAAAACAAATCTTGTAATGCGTTTCTGATAGGAAGTCGCAAACGCAGCCTGGAGGAAGATGAGGATTTCGGGCCCACGCAGGTCACAGCAACACAGAACGGATGAACTTTGCCGATATTTAAGCTGCATGGCACCGTGCACTCTTTTTTTTTTTTTTTTTACATTTTTAATGGGATTAAAAATGTAAATATTTGAACTTTTTCTAAGGGGATGGGATGAGGGTGGGAGGGCAGTGACTCATGTCTGAGACAAGGAGTGCTGGTTGGACTTTGGACAAATTAAATAATTCTGTTTTTTTCTGAGCTGTATGCACTGATGGGAGACTTTTTGCAGTTTTATAGTATTTAAAGCATTTTGCATTTGCAGCGGGACAGTATTGCAATAATGCACTTTCAATACTTGAATTAGTTTAGTTGGCCAGGTTGGGGGAGGGGAGTGTTGACTTAAGGAGACTTGGCCTGGACGTGTCCCAGTGGCGGACACGAGTCATGGTGACGTCTTTTAGAGTTATGAACCAACATCGAGGTGCGTGTGGGAAAGGCAGGAACAAAAAAATTGAACTCACTGCTTAAAAGAAGAAACATTTTGAGTGCTGTACTAAGGTGTCTATCATAAATGCATTTAACACGTGCTTGTTTTCTGATATTTATGCATTTTGTCAGAGTTGTTTCCCCATTTTAAACAGCTGTTCACGTTTTGTCTAAATATTTTACTGGTGTGTTCACGGGAAATCTGATAAACTAGTGTACTTGACTCGTAATTCAGTTTTGTCCTCTAAAGCTAAGTCAGGGCACTATTTACCACAACGCTACATTTCTGAGTTTTGGGAAGAAAATGCACTAATTACACTTTAAAGCAGAGGTGAGGTACATGTTTCAGAGAAAAACACTGATCATCATTAAACAGTTTATTAGATTGACATTTGGAAATAAGTTATATTAAATATGTTCCCTGTTCAGAATAAAACTATTACAAAAGCTTAAATAAAAGCTGATCTTTAAAAAATCAGCTTTGACTATTTCCCATTAGAAAATGCTTCAAACCTGATGCTGTTGACCAAATACAAAACTTAAAAACTGTTGCCTCTTTTTTGTTCACTGGAAATATTCTAACAGTCTTCATTATAATGCTTCCTGTTGTAGCGTTCAGGCCTTCATTTTCCAGCAACATAGCTGAGGCTTGATGAGAAAAATTAAACAAAATCTAAGTTAATCATAGTGCTCATCGTCTTTGGGGGCAGAATTTAAATATGTGAATAACTAAATTCTTGTTGCCTTGAGTTCATTTTGTGATTAAATTTGGTTTTGATCATAGTCACATCCCTTCTTTTTTTTCTCATACTTAAGACATTCAATTTACAGTAACCCATGTTGGTTTTCTTAAACAGATAGATGACTGCACACCTCCATCCAGATGAGGTAGCCACGGTTACCAAACATATGGACATTGATGCACAGAGATGTATAGTTAACTGTTATGAAATCAGCTGTTTAAACTTGACAACTGCAAACAATAGGCCCCCTCCCCGGCCGACCCCCAAGGCTTAAGACCCCATCAAGAGCAAGTGCCGATGTCAGAGCTGGTCTGTGCCCCAAAAGGCTGAAGCTGCAGCCGTCCTCAGTCGCAGAATCTGCGCTGCATGTAGGTCTCGTCCGAGGCGCTGTAGCCAAATTTTTGGTAGAAAGCCACATTTTTGGGAGCGCATTCCAGAGTGATTTTATAGCAGTTCAGTTTTTTGCTAAGAAGAGTGAGTGTTGACACCAATCTGGAGAGAGGAGAAACGAGGGGGTTAAACAACTGGAAACAGATGTTTGAGCCTTTATAAAGCACTTAAAAATTTAGGGGGCTCAACATTAGAGGTCGACTGCCAAAGCCGATATGGGTCAGTCAATGTTTTCCACCTTATGTGCACACTAAAATGTCACCAGTAACAATTGATGCACGTTTCTGAAGCTGAATTTAACCAAATGTTGCATCTTAATTTTGTGCACTGCTCAATCTTAAAATCAGACCTCTAAAGTTAATCAAACATCAGACCTCTAAAGTTAATCAAACATGTAAATAATCAATACTTGTTCAGTTATTTGATATCTAGTATATAAAGATATTTTATATGAAAAATATTAGGGCCGGGATTTTAACGCGTTAATTATGTTTAATTAATTAGAAAAAATGACACGTTCAAAAAAAATAACGCATTTAATCACAGCTTGAGCTAGTCGGAACCTTTGTTATTGCACGATTTTCTCGTAGACCGAATATCACTGAAGCACACAATACACAGTGCTAATGGCTACTAAAATGGAATAAAAACAGAAAGAAGTTGCCTTGCTTGGACTGATGCAGGATTTAGGAAACTCATCCGCCTCTTTTCTTAACTTGGGGGAAAAAAAACTTCCAGACAACAACGGAGTCCGTGTCGCAGACATTGTTCAGAGATAGTCTCTGCTGCAGCTGCCCGGTGGCACCGGAAACTTTACAAAAGTTGCGGTAAGCTATTTTTAACATTTACGTAACATATGTGCAGCGCTAAAAACACCAGACAGAATAATTCTTTGCCCTAACAGTAGTTTATGAAAGTAGTCAGACAAACGAGAGGCACCTGGCTGCCGCTGGGAGAACGCTTCGTGTTCTCACTACTCCGTAAACAATCACAAGCAACGTGTCAAAGTTGAAAACAGAAGTTTAAGTTAAAACAGAAACACTCTAAAAATGTGATTAATTTAGATTAATTACAAAGCCTCTAATTAATTAGATTCAATTTTTTAAATCGAATCACGGCCCTAAATAATATTTTGAGAGATAATTATACAGCTGTTATTCAGGAACATTAATATACATTTAAACCAAATCCTGCAGCTGGTTTGCCACGCCCACTCAGGCAGGACATAAATATTAAATTAACTGTGTGCTGATTGGCTGGTTTACTTTGATGGCTTTATAATGCGTAAAGCTAGAAACTGTACTTGTGTTTAGTATCCAGATAACTCAGTAGCCAAATTTTATGGATCTAGGCTAGCGATCTGGCATTAATTCAAAGTCTGGACATTCAATACACCCTGGAATGTTACACGCATGCTCCGCCAATCAGAAAAATTACGAATTCATAGAGAAGGGAAATTGTGGCACCAACAAGTCATCTCCTTGTCATGTTTTTGTTCAGTTCAGCAACTGAACCAGGTGATTTCAATCAGCACGTTGAATGAACCTGGTTCAGTTGCAGAGCAGAACAAAAACATGGAGATGACTCGTTGATGCCACAATTCCCATCTCTGCTGATTACAGCTGTGACCCTGAGTAGGATGAAAAATAAAACAATATATTTTTTAAGTCTGATGCTTTTGTTCTAAAAATGGTTTTGTGGTAGAACAAAGAAAATATAGAAATGAAATTTAGCTAATTTGTGTTAAAGTGTAAACGCTGATGTGATAGAATGCTTTTACAAAAATGAAATAAAAGGCAGAGGTGGGAACTGTGGCATCAACATGTCATCTCCATGTGGTGTTTTTGTTCTGCTCATTCACTGTGCTGATTGAAATCGCCTGGTTTAGTTGCTGAGCTGAAGAAAAACACGATATGGAGATGACTTGTTGATGCCACAATTTCCCATCTCTGCTAATTTACATAGGAAAGCAGGTCAGAAACGACGGACGTTTTGTTGCATTACAATCAGACATCCCAAGCTTCCTTCAACAAGCTAAATGTAGTTTTTAAATCTAGGACTGTTTTAATAAGCAGAAACATTATTTCTATTTCAAAGCTCTGAGTCTTTTGGGGAATTAAAAGGAGACTAGGCAGTTTTGGCTTGCTTTAACACCCCCTAGTGACAGTTTAATAGAACCAAAAGCAAAACCTATCCTTGCTGTGCGTTAGTCTTTTTAACACCTTAATCTATCCACTGAAATGTCTCACCAGCCTCTTTAGAGTCTGCAGGAGTGATTCATCATTAAATTAAACAAATCAGCTGTGTTCATGATCTTTAAAACATGCAGGAAACAAGTTGGAAGCAGACTGCAGCGCCAGGTATGTCAGCTCCATTTTTTCTAAGTTCAACAGTCCAGACTGGCACTCTGAAGTTGCAAATGCACTATTCTGGCCACAGGGGGTGATGAAGGTCTGGGTGACCTTTCATTAATCCTTTAGAGAGTCATTTTAGCATATACTGGCTCAAGAAAATGATGTTAAAATATAAAAAGTTGTGAAGTATCCCTTTAAATACTTTGTCAGGTTGACACGGGTCTACTCACAGTTTCCCCAGCTGCTTCCCTCTGCACACGTCACTGACGACAACCTCCTCCACACGACCCCTCTGCAAACAAAAACTGATTTTTATCATGTTCAAGATCAATTAATCTTTGAAACTTTTGTTTCAGGAGAACAAATTGAAATTAACTGGATTAAAAAAACTTGGTAAATATTAAACTAATAATTACTACATCAATGTTTAACTATTTATGGTGTTGGAGATAAAGAAAAACTAGATAACAGCTGGCATCCATAGTTAATAAACAAAATGTTATGTACCTTTGCACATGAGTGGATGAATTTATGTTCAGTGATCAGAGTTGCCGTGGCAACAATTTGTCCCAGATTTGTATCCTCCACCACAACAACATAGTAGTCTCCTGTTGTCTTCATATGCTTGAACTTATCTGGGGGTGAAAGAGAAAACGTGGCAGGGTTCTCGTGATATTGTTTTGGTCTGTTCGAGTGTATTTATTAGAGTTTATCAATCAATCAATCAAAGCTTTATTTATAAAGCGCCTTCCGCAACCCTGTCAGGAAGCCCAAAGCGCTGAACATGGTACAGTTGTAAGTAATTATACTGAATAAATCAACAATAAAAGAAATTCAAATTACAAAATACAAATTACAAAATACAAAATGGAAATAACAAGATAGATGAAACATTCCGGTAAAATACAAATGTGTGAAACACAATTGGATTGAGTGGATGGATTGAGTGTACCAATGAAAACTGTGGAATGGATTCAACATAATAGAGGGCCATAATCAAACATGTTCTGGAAACGCCAAGCGGAGGAGGTGTGTTTTTAGGTGGTTCTTAAAGACTGGCAGAGAAGGGGACAGCCTAACTGAGGGTGGCAACTGGTTCCAGAGTAACGGTGCTAGGACTGAGAAAGCCCGGTCCCCACGGGTACGACGCCTAGACCGAGGGACAGCGAGCAGGCCTTGGTCAGAGGAGCGCAGAGCGCGTGATGGGGAATGTCTGTTCAGGAGTGTGGCCAGATAGGGGGGAGCACCACCCTGGAAGCCTCATTATTATTATTATTATGAAAGCCTCAAGGCTTTTCCCAGCCAGATGTCTGGAGGAAGCTTAAGATGTTTTCAGTGATGTTTGTTTTGTCTGAGAAGTTTTTTCCCCTCTACAAACTGTTTCAATGTCGTTCTTTTTTTCCCCTCAGATTAAAACCTAAACTTTGCAAATAGTGAGATGCACAAAGAATTAAAATGAGGATGTCTTTAGTGTAATAATAGCTTATATAGCAGCTTTAAGTGTGACTTACTGACAAACAGCTCTGGTGTGATGTCTCCTGTTTTAGTAAGTTGAGATAAAACTTTGAAGAAGCCTGTAGAAAGAAAGAAAAAAATAATGACCACATTTTAAACGAGTTTATTACATACAAATTTGTATGATTCTAATGCCAGAGCAGGTCTGGGACACATCCATATTTACCTCTGTTAAAGTCTGCTGTGCACAGGGGCCGGAGCACCAGGCCATCTCCTGGACTGGATGGTGAGATGGGAGGAGAAAAGCATGCGGCATTGCCACTCCAGTCCAACTCCTGAAGCAGAGAAGGCTCAAAAAGAGGAGTCTCGTCCAGCAGCATTCCACAATCAGACTAGGACACACACACACCTGCCCAGAAGATTCAACACATGCAAAATGTTTAAAAAAAAACAGAGCTTTTTCTTTAAATGCAAAGTAGGCTTATTCAGACTGCCCAAACAGGAAATGGGTGGGACTTTGACCCGACAAATAAAACCTGCACTTGGTAAAAGGTTTTCAGGCTCCAGAGGCTGACAAACCAGTTGGAAAATACAGTACACGTCACGGGCACACCCACATGTAAATATGATACTCATTCCTTGTGAATGCACTTTCGGCACCCATTGATGAGATCTTTCCAGGATAGAGCTAGACTCAGTCCAGGATGTGTGATGGGAAAGTGGAGGGGCCTTTTCACAGAAGTCATGTGACAGTGGCTCTAAAACTGGTTCCCAACTTTATTTTCCCTGGCGGACCCCCCTGCCTGTATCGAAGTAACGTCAGGACCTTCAACTCTAACTCCTACGACCATACACAAAACAAAAGTGATTGATAAAAATTTTATACAGACATACAGAATTACAACTTTATTCTGAGTGATGATTGGGTGACAGAGAAGATACTTGTCATGTATAATAAAAGCAAAATATGCCCGCTTGGGAAATGCAAAATCAAACTGCAGAACCCGAGAACTAATAAACTGTACAGGCTTGAGTTTCAGGTGTTGGATCAGGAAGATGGGGTCCCCATATTGGTCAGAAGGGCAAGCGAAGCCATGAAACTGATCAAGGTGCAGTATGAAAATATACTGGCAATGGACAGTATAGTGACTACGCATAACACAGACAAAGTCCCAGAAAAAGAGCAACTAACAAACATGGACTAAATAAAAGAGTTCCATGATGTTTTCAAAGGTGTTGGCTGCCTGGAAGAGTGCCGCATAGAAATAGATGAAACTGTAACACCTGTAAAACTGCCCAAACGTAGGGTGCCAGTTGTTATGATGGCCCCACTCAAAGAGGAGTTGAAAAGTCTGGAAGACATAGAAATAGCACCTGTGGAGTGCAATACAGACTGGATAAGCAGTATGGTGTCAGTGACAAAACCCAATGGAAAGACAAGGATCTGCATAGACCACAAACCACTGAACAGAGCCCTCAAAAGGAGCCATTTTCCACTCCCAACCATTGAAGATATTCTGCTGGCACTCTCCAAAGCAAAGATCTTCACTGTGTGTGATCTGAAGCAGGGATTTGGGCATGTTAAACTGGATGAGGAGTCTAGTTATCTCACCACATTTGCTACCCCTTTTGGACGGTAGGGGTGGCTCAGGATGCCAGTGGGTATTAGTCCAGCTCCAGAGTATTCCAAAGAAAACTGATGCAAGCACTAGAGGGCTTAGAAGGGGTGTACATTATTGCTGATGGCATACTGATTACAGGTGAGGGAGACACACAACAGGAAGCAGAGTTGAACCATGATGAAAACCTTAGATGTTTTCTACTCAGGTGCAGACAAAGAGACATAAAACTCAATGCGGAAAAGGTTAAGCTGAGAAAAGATTCAGTACCTTATATTGGTCACTTACTGACAGCAGACGGCCTACACATTGACCCAGAGAAGGTATGCACAGTGCGTGAGCTGCCAAGACCTACAGATGTAAAAGGGGCGCAGAGACTGGTGGGCATGTTAAATACCTTTCAAAGTTTTGTGATCACCTCTCAGATGACTGAAGTTTTGAGACGGCTCACATATAAGGACAACGTGTGGGAATGGACAGAGATGCACGAGACAGCACTAGACAGACTAAAAGAAAAGATAACGAATGCCCCAGTGCCCTACGATATGATGCTCCGAGATGGGGTTAGGTGCGGCTCTGACACAGAAAGGGAAACCTGTAGCGTTTGCAAGTAGAGAGCTGACTCCCACAGAACAGGGCTATGCCCAGATTGAAAAGGAGTGTTTGGCCATAGTATTTGGACTGGAAAAGTTTCACCAGCATACCTATGGAAGGCAGGTGAGGGTGCAAAGTGACCATAAGCCACTTGAAAATATCGTGAAGAAACCACTACTTAGTGCGCCAAAGAAATTACAGAGAATGTTACTGAGATTACAGAAATATGACATCAATGTGACCTATGTGCCAGGACGAGACATGCTGTTAGCAGACACACTAAGCAGGGCTTACTTGCTGGACAGCAGTCAGGGTGAAACTGAAACAGAGACAGAGACTGTTAACATGATTGCATATCTACCCATCTCAGCGGTGAAACTGGCTGCAATTAGAGGCGACAAAACAAGATGCGGGGTTGCAGGAAGTAATCAAACTGATTCAGGGAGGCTGGCCGGGGAACAAAAAAGAATTATCCCAAAGCATTCAGCACTATTTTGAATTCCAGGATGAGATGAGTTATCAGGATGGCGTTGTTTTCAGGGGAGAACGAGCTGTGATACCCGATGCACTGAGAACAGACCTCATCCGCCGGATTCATTCATCACATCTGGGGATGGAATGCCTCAGGCGAGCTCGTGAGTGTGTTTACTGGCATGGAATGAGTGAGCAGATAAAAACGGCTGTTGCCAAATGCCACACCTGCAGGTCAGTAGACCCCAAACAACAAAAGGAGACGTTGCAACCACATGATGTGGCCTACAGACCTTGGGCCAAGGTGGGGACTGATCTGTTTTCATGGCACAACAAGGACTATTTGATAACTGTGGACTATTATTCTAACTTTTGGGAAGTTGACCATCTTCCCAACACAAAAAGTACCACAGTGATCCACAAGCTGAAAGCCCATTTTGCTTGTCAAGGTATTCCGGATGTGCTCGTTTCGGATAATGGGTCTCAATTCTCTTCACAGGAGTTTAGAGAGTTCAGCCGAAAGTGGGAGTTTGAACACAGGACTTCTTCACCTGGTTACCCGCAAAGCCACGGGAAGGCAGAATCAGCGGTCAAGATGGCAAAACGACTCATACAGAAGGCTGCTGCAGCTGGACAGGATCCATACCTGGCCCTACTGGATCATTGCAACACTCCAAGCCAGGGTCTGAATTCCAGTCCTGCACAAAGGCTTCTCAGCAGGAGGACCAGAACTCTTCGGCCTACAAAAACAACTTTACTGGAACCAGGAGTGTGCAACAGCACAAGGGCTGCTTGACAACATGCACAGGTAGGAGTGGTACTACAACCACACAGCAAAGGACTTGGATGGTCTTACACCTGGGGATCCAGTTAGAGTCCAACCCTTGGTGCCTGGAAAGACATGGGAAAGAGCCACGGTGATTACTCCTGTGGCTTCAAGATCTAACAAGGTAGAGCTGGAGTCTGGTGCGGTATTGAGGGGAAATCGCAGACACCTCAGGCGTGATGTTGGCCCACCCTTAATTCCGCCTCAGGCTGCTTGTGACACGCTTCAAGCAGTGTCTGACAACTGGAAGCTGGGTGGCACTGTTACTACAAGGTCGGGTCGTCCGGTTAAGAGGCCTGCCTATTTGAAAGACTATACTGTTTAAGATGTTGATTTTGTTTGTTCTCAGGGGTGGGGGGTGTTCTATGGAAAAAAAAGTGAGAAGAATACATTTGTGAGGTTCTATGTATTGTTATGTTATGAAAATGTTATGGAAAGTTTGCTAGAGATTTGTTGAATCAGTTTGGATTGGAAAGAGCGGCACAATACTGATCTTTTGTTATTGGATCTCACAGCTTTGACAGAAAAAAATCGTGCTGGTGAAATATGGTCCACATGAAAATGTAAAGAAAAGGGAAAAAAATGAGAAAGGATGTAACAAGAGGAATGTTATATAATTGTTATGTGTTTCTAGGGGGAACGGTTTTAGAGGGGACACGAAAGCCGGAAACAGGCTGGGCTTAAGTTTTGTATCTGGAGTAGGCACGTATGTTAAAGTTTCAGGAGTAAGCAGTGATACTGCTTTAACCGTCCATTCTGTAAAGTTGAGCAACAGAACAGAATGAAACAAAATTATTGGGTGTGTTATTGGACTTATGGGGAGCCCCTGCAATCTCTAGTGACCTCCACCCAGTTGACCATCACCTGCTACTGGAGAGGCTGAGAGACTGGGTAGGCCTATCAGGATCTGCTCTGGAGTGGTTCTCCTCTTATCTTTCTGAGCGCTCCTTTTCTGTGGTCGTCTCCAAGTTTAGGTCCTCCACCACCTCTCTTACCCATGGTGTCCCACAAGGTTCTGTGCTGGGGCCTCTGCTCTTCCTCTTCAGCACATCCTGAGTGCCTTCAAAGGAATCTCCTACTATCTTTATGCAGATGACATCCAACTGTACATCTCCTTTAAGCCCCATGAGATGTCTAAGCTGCAGCTGTTACACACCTGCTTAGACTCTATCAAAACCTAGATGGCTGGGAGCTTTCCACAGCTGAAGATAAGACTGAGATTCTCATCTGTGTCCCAGACAAGCTGGTTCCCAAAGTCAGAGACTCTCTTGGTCAGCTTGCTTCTCACACCAAACATTCCGTCAGGAATCTTGGCGTGACCTTTGACCCAGCTCTCACCCTGGATTCTCATGTCAGTTCTCTTGTTCGATCTTCCTTCTTCCATCTCAGGAGCATTGCAAAGCTGAGTCCCATTCTGTCCCGCTCTGAACTTGAGACTGTTATCCACACCTTCATCTCCTCACGCTTAGACTACTGTAGCTCTCTTTTCACGTGTCTGAGCAGAACCTCCCTGAACCGTCTGCAGGTGGTTCAGAATGCCTGTGCTCGGCTTCTGACCAAGTCCTCCAAACACACCCACATCACCCCGCTTCTCCTCCAGCTTCACTGGCTGCCAGTCAACTTCAGGGTTCATTTCAAGATCCTGGTTCTGGTCTATAGGGTCTTACATGGACAAGCACCATCTTACATTGGTGATCTTCTTAGTCCCTACACCCCCAGCAGGTCCCTGAGGTCCAGTGATCTGGATACTGGTTGTGAAGCACACCAGGCTTAAGACCAAAGGTGACAGATCATTTGCTGCTGTGGCCCCTAGACTCAACTCTC